GTTCATTTTCTGGGTAATGGTAACCCCCAGGCAGTTGCTGGTGGGGAGAGCCATACCGTGAAAAGTTTTACGGAGATAGTTAGATTCTATATTGTCAGAGGTGATTGCTGCTTGGTATTTGTGTGGTGTGAAAGGTAGTTAATTCAAAAATGTTATTGTTGGTTGCTAACTTTTTACTAGTAACTTTTTGAGGTTGAGTCACTGTTGAAACCCAGCAGCCAATTTGTCCACAGCAAGCTCCAACAAGCAATAATGTGATAATGACAAGACAAACTGTTCTTATTAATGTCGTTTGATGAGTAAATGTTGGCCACAACAATGGGGATAATGTTACCCTGGGATCTATTACACACACAAGGGCCTAGATTTATTGTGACATTGGAATAACAGCACCTCCAACAGTGCAGTGCTCCCTCGCAATTGGCCCTTTAACGGTGCGGCCCTCCCACTTTATTGCACTGCAGTGCCAGCTTGGGTTTTGTGTTCAAAACTCTGAAGTGGAACTTGAATCCCCAACTTCCTGACTGCACGCAGAATGTGCTGATAACAGCCACAGCTAACATGGCTGCAGATCTTCCCATTTTCCCTGAATGCATTCATAAACTAGTTTTTACATTGGTAACTGTTCCTTCAGTCCAGGCTTGAAGCAGGAGCATTTTTCAATGCTGTTTTCCTTGCAATTAGTTCCACAGGCAGCAGAGACTGGATATTGCTTTGAGAAGGGTGGAAATCATCTAAAATAGGAAAAGAAGCATGCTGTAAGTTTTCAATGGGGTGAGGTTAGTGGGGAACTGATACATAGTGGTAACGCTGCTGGATAGTAATCCTGAACCCCAGGCTAATTTTCTAGGCAATGTGTTCAGATCTCACTGTGACAGATGGTGAAATCTGGATTCAGTAAAAATCTAGAATAAAGTGATGGCCTAATGATGACCCTGTAACCACTGACAATTGTTATAGAAACCGTCCGGTTAACTAATATCCTTCAGGGAAGGAAATCTGTCTTCATTACCTGGCCTACATGTGACTCCAGACCCATGCCAATGTAGCTGACTCTTAACAACCCTCTGGGCAATTAGAGATGAGGGCAACAGTGATGCCCACGTTCCATAAAGGTCTAAAACATAATCACAGCATTCAAAAATCTTCAGAGATAAGTGCAGCATTCAGCAAAGAAATGCTGCTATGTTTCGATGGTTGGAATAATTGCTCCCTGCGGTGCATGTTGTCACCTCCTACCCTGCCCCTCCCCCTTAAGTTTTAGGACTTTTGCTTTCCTCCTATTTTCTTGCTGGGTGATATTTCTGAGGGAACACTGGCAAACCCAGAGAGCGGTTGGGAGCAAAGGAGTTGGGTCACCAGTTTCATCTGTAGCTACGTTCTCATTGCTAAACCTCCAGGCGTAATGCAGGAACATTGAAGCCCTTCACCTCAGATGGAGAGAGAATGACACTGACGTGGGAGCTGAGTTACTTTCTGAAGATTCACTTCTTGCGCTTCTTTTCTTTAGGCCTTTTATAGGTCCCGCACTACCACCTGGGTTCAGCCGGGCAGAAAAGGAGAGAGAACCTGCTGTACCCTCAAGTTTAAGCACGTTGGTAAGTGGGATTTCAGAAACTTTTCCCCTCATATTTTTAATGCTGCAATACACAGTGCTGCTGATTTTATATCATTTGGTATTGACTGAATTACAGGAATTTCCTTCCTGTCACTTCAGTACTTTATTACTTGCCACAGTTTCCTGTGACTCTTGGAGGAATGTAGAACCCAAGTCAGACTTGTTCTCCCTTATACCTGTTTTATTGAACCAAGATTCTTCCTTAAACATTTTACACCAGGTTGGTGAAAATAGGGAGAGAGAGAGAGATACAGCAAGAGGAATTACTGTTCCCTCCAATTCTTTTCAAATTTTGCATTGTTTGGAACAGAGACAGGTTTTCCGTCCGAAGACAAAGGTTTTGTGGGTGGATCCCGTGCTGTTTAAGGAGCAGTGTAACAGAGGGATGTGCTGGAAGCTGAGGTGTAGTGCATGTGAGACCAAACCGGAGAAGAAAAAAATGTGAAACCTAAGAAAGCAGGCAGGATGTAAATGAAGACCCAATTCCTCCTTCATGTTGAGCCTTCCAGGGTATTCATGATTGAGAGAAGACCCTCCAGTACTGTGTCAAAAAGGTCATTCCTAATAATAATTCCTAATAAGTGACTGACAATTCCAGGTTAGCTATTCAGCCACATGGAGCATCACAGCTGATTTGATCCCGTGCTCACCCATTGTATGTGTATGTGCGTTTTCCGCCCCGGATCAGTGAAATTCTCTCATCGCAAAATCTTGTTGGTCCTGAAGTTTGAGACAGTTGAGTGATACTATACTGCAGAATTGGGACAGGATGGATGTAAGTTATAGTGCAGCACTCAATCTAATACTTAGCAAGTGATATGAACACATTGTCAACTTTGAGCTGTCAACTCTTAGTTTGGCATTTATCTGGCACCGTTGCATCACATGTGGTTTGAAACAGTATTAAAATGTTCACAAGAATCTTAACATGCCTCCGTTCCAATTTGCACAATTTGAACATGTTACTGGAAAGGGTGCATCTCTAATAAGTAGGTTGTTGAGGTCAAGATCAGGTAGCGAGTTACTCTTGTGATGGATCTGCCGTTTGCCACAGGCCTAGTCTGGTGGCTGTGGCCTTAAGGGCTCAGTCATTACTAGTGGTGTGGACCTACATTTGGTGAGGGACATTGAAGTTCCCTGTGAAGGGTTTAGTCTGTGTCCTTGCTACCGTTGGTACTTCTTCCAACTGGTGTTCGACACAGATGAGTACTGATTCATCAGTTGTGGGCTCACAGTAGTTGGTATTCAACAGGAAGTTTCTTTGCTCATGAGACATCATGGAATCCAGATTGATGGTTATTTTATGGGGTCAAGAGACTTGGATGAATAGGCCGGCAAGTTTAAATTCCACCTCAGCAGCTGGAAAATTTGAATTCAGTGAATTAAATGAATACATTTTTTTAAAAAACAGAAGTATTGTCAGTAATGGTGTCCATGCTCTGGATCACTGGATAGTAATGAATGTCCATCTGGCTTGTGAATGTTGCTGGGTATACCCTGACCCATAAGCAGCATGGATCCTCAAGAGGTGCTGGACCTAATATTTGATGAGCTGGTTTGCCTCTCTGCAGTCTTCTGAAGCAGGCCCTGATCCCATGTTACAGCTTGTCATAGAGTCATTCAGCATGGAAACAGACCCTTCAGTCTAACCAGTTCGTGACAACCATAATCCCGAACTAAACTAGTCCCACCTGCCTGTGCTTGGTCCATATCCCTCCAAGCATTTCTTATTCATGTACTTGTCCAAATGTCTTTTAAATGTTGTAACTGTACCCACATCCACCACTTCCTCAGGAAGTTCATTCCCACAACATCCACTCTTCGTGTTAAATAAAATTGCGCCACATGTCTTAAAATCTTTCTCCTCTCATCTTAAAAATATGGCCCTTTAGTTTTGAACTCCCCCACCCTAGTGAAAAGACCACTGCTGTTCACCTTATCTATACTTGTTATGATTTTATAAATCTCTATAAGGTCACCCCTCAACCTCCTATGCTCCAGTGAAAAAAGTCCCAGCCTATCCACCCTCTCCCCATAACCCAAAGCCTGTATTCCTGGCAATATCCTGGTAAATCTCTTCTGAACTCTGTCCAGCTTAAAATATCCTTCCTGTAACAGGGAGACCAGAGCTGTACACAGTACTCCAGAAGATGCCTCACCAACGTCCTGTATAACCTCAAAATGACAACCTAGCTCCTACACTGAAAGGTTTGAGCAATGAAGGCAAGTGTGCTAAATGCCTTTTTCACCACACTGTCTATAAGTGACTCAAACTTCAAAGAATTATGTACCTGCACCCCTAGGTCCCTCTGTTCTACATCTCTATCCAGGGGCCTACCATTAATTGTACAAGTCCTGCCCTTGTTTGTTGTACCAAAACTCAATACCTCGTATTTATCCAAATTAAACTCCATCTGCTACTCTTCAGCCCATTGACCCATTTGATCAAGATCTCTTTAGATAACCACCTTCACTGTCCACTATATCAGCAATCTGGATGTCATCCGTAAACTTATTAATCATGCCTTCTATATTCTTATCTAAATAATTTATATAAATGACGAACAAAAGTGGACACAGCACCGATCCCTGTGGAACACTACTGATAACAGGCCTCCAGTCTGGAGGGACAAAAAAACCCTCCACCATTATTCTCTGTCTCCTGTCGTTAAGCCAATTTTGTATCCAATTGGCAAGATCACCCTGAATCCCACCCAATCTATCTTTACTAATCAGTCTACCATGCGGAACCTCGTGAAAGGCTTTAAAATCCAACTAAACAATGTGTACTGCTGTACCCTCATCAATCTTCTTGGTTACTTCCTCAAAAAAACTCAAGTCAAGTTCGTGTGGCGCGATTTCCCTCTTACAAAACCATGCTGACTATCCGTAATCATTCCTCGCCCCTCCAAATGCAAGTAATTCCTGTCTTTCAGAATCACTTCCAAACATTTACCCATTCACTGCAGACATTAGAAGCAATGGCAGTAACAACTTGGCATTGTGTCTTCCAATTACTTTGTCTTACAGCACACACAAGAAGACAGCGATGAGGAGGCCCTAATCGGTCCAATGCCCTCGACAGGCACCACTGAAACCAACGTGGCAGCAGACATTGAACGCAGGGCGAGCAGAATGAAAGAAAAGCTGGCCTCTGGTGACATGGTAAGGGGTCACCTGCTTTATGCAGTTATTGTGGTGGCCATGGATGTCTGTCACCCACAGGTTGTGTGATGGCACATTGACCAAATAGGTTTTCTTCTAGCTTCCCTGTTCCCCATGGACAACGGAGTTATGCTGGGAATCCCGAAAAATCATGTTTAAAATTACGATGTGCTTTCATTGGAGAATGTTGTGTAAAGTTGATTTATTGGCATTTCCCCATCACAGTAATGTTCATTTATTTAGTTCTGACCCGTGGTGGTCTCGAGCTGCGTTGAACTAGGCTTTATGTTTCGCTGCTTGCGCGGGGTAGGGGGCGTGGTGGAGGAATCATTTGTGAGACCAAGTTCTGCAATTTTCCCACTCTGTTTTTCGCCGTGACTCTTATCTGTTAGAATGATGCCCAGAAACAGGTCAGAGAGTCGTGGATGGTTGAGCTTCCGCCGGTCTTACAAAACATAGGCCTGGGTGCAAGAACGTTCAAGAGGCGTGCGAACGGAGAGTCGTCCGACCGCTCAGTATGGACAGATACTCCCGCGGACAGGGAAAGGAAAGCACAGGTAAGTCTGCAGTATTTCTGATTGCTAACTCACCCCCCAACAGAATCAAATGGCTCCCTGGGGATGTTGGATTGCCAGTGTCACAACAACACTGGGTTGGCGGGGGGGAGGATCCTCAGCACAGCATGGCAAGGAGCACCTGACCAGAAACAATGTGACACAAGTATAGGAAATGAGTGGAAATAAATATTATCAATCTTTTAATATTTTACAATTGCAGCACGTGGCCTTTCTCGTTACTACTGCAAATACATTGTTGTTAACTTTGTGTCAACAGGATTCTCCTGGGAGTCCTTTGTTGTAGGTGAATGTATATAAATGGCCAGCAGCAACCTGTTCCAGATATGATAATACGCCTCTGGAGTAGGTGGGACTTGAACCCAGGCCTCCTGGTTCAGAGGTATGGCCACTGCTGCTATACCACAAGATTCCTTAGAAGTAACGCACCACAGATTTGAATTCAGAATTTCCCTGTTTACTCGGTAGGTGGTTTAACCTGCTAAGCCATAGCATCATCTCAAAAAGCCTACAGCAACTGGTATTCCCAGGCGGTCTCCCATCCAAACACTAACCAGGCCTGAGTCTGCTTCGCTTCAAGCCTGGCAGATCAGGCATCCTCAGACTAGAAAGGCGTAAGCAATTCTTAAATTGACATGTAATGACACATCTCTTGGGCAGTTGGGACTTGAACCTGGGCCTCTTGGCTCAGAGGTAGGGACACCACCACTGCACCAGTAGCACTCTGTGAGAGTTAACCAGAACAGCTCCAGAGTTGATTGACAACAGATGATTATCATAGTGTCATTTGTAGTGTCTCAACCCATGGATTGGGAGGCCCGGGTTCAAGTCACCTGCTCCAGAGGTGGGTAATAATGTCTCTGAACAGGTTGATTAGAAAAAGAGTTTGTAGGGCGCTTGTGCTGTGGTGGTGTCCCTACCTCTGAGCTAGGAGGTCCAGACTCCACTTCCACCTGCTCCAAAGGTGTATCGTGGAAAAGTTGAGTAAAAATATCTGCTGCGACTTGTAGGGCTGTGGTGGCACGGTGGTAGTGTTCCTACCTTTGGAGGCTGAGGTTCAGGTCCTACCTGCTCCAGAGGTACAGGGAATGGGGTGTGGGGCTGCTGTCGGAGGTGATCATACTGGATTGAGGAGATAATATGTGCATGAAAATGATAGGAAAAGTGTGCACAAAGGACAGGGAAAGGGCAGAGTCCTAAGGTGCGAGCAGGTTTGGGGAATGACCGGCGCAGGGGATGGATTTTAATGGGATAACTGGGTGAAGACTGTGCAGAAATCACAGCACTTGAAGAACGGGTTTGTAGTCTGGGATTGAGGGTCCCTCTGTGAAATGGGTCAGGTTTTTTGAGGAGAAATTGGTCTGTGTCATCGGGGATGTGACACAGCGACTGCCAAATTCGAGATACTATGTTGGCGTGCATGGTGGTGTACAGCTAAACAAACCTAAAGTTGACTGTGTTGTTGCTGTGGAGAATCTCTGCTCTACCTCACCTAGGCCAGCTGGATCAAACTAAACTGCCGAGAGCTGGAGGGACTTTTCTGTATGTGGGCAGAGGGAAAATCCGGGGTGGTGAGTCTGAATGCAGCTCTATTTCAGGAATAATCTCTGGGAATATGTCACTTGCTGAGAAAGGGGGAGAAAGTGGATAAAAATCTTTTGACACCATTCTGGTTAAGCTGAGAGCAATGTTTGAGCACATTTGTCTCCCTGTTTTTTTTCAGACGGTGACTGGTATTAAACGAGGACTAATTCCAGATTTGTGTTTGCAATTCTCTGGGGAATATTAGAGTAAGAAAATTTTCAGCAGGCATTTTGTACTTCGTTCGCTGTGCACAGACTTGTGCAGTATCTTGAGTTTGCTAACACTTGGTGCAGGGTAACCTGTTTTGATTGAAATGCGTTGCCAGCACTATTTGACTAGCGAATTAGAGGAGGCGCAAGCCTGCTGGCAGACAGACAGTTTTCCCAGTCTGTTTAAAGCGGGCGTTTCCAAACTGGGGGTAAAGACTCCTGAAATAGGGTCACAACTGGGGAGCAGTGTGGAGCGAACACTCGGGTTTGACAATCCTGGAATTGGCTGCAGTGCCTTTTTAAATGTGTGGCAATTTATTTTTTGCCTACGGGTATGCCTTATTTCAGTGAGCTCTGATAGCAGAGACTGGACACCAACAGAACCTGCGAAATGGCAGCTGATTTGATTTTTTTTTGTGTCTGTATCCTCGGCTGTTTGAAACCTCCCCCTCCCCAACCCCAGGACAATCTGGTTGGCAAATCTGGGGTTGTACCAAGTGCAAAGCCTTAAAATTGGGTCACAGCAGGAACAAGTTTGGGAAACATAGTAGATATACTCTGAATTCCAGCAAACAGAACACGGTCAAAAAGATAGCAACATTTCTCAATAAAAGTAGGATTATTTCTCCTGCAATATGCGGTGATTGGAAAACAATTACTGAACACAAATCAGTGCAGTTATTGACAGTCTAGCTGTGATTGATAGCAAAGTTAGCTAACTATCCATCCTGGTTGGCCCATGTGGGGTCACTGTACATGGGATGTTCTGTCTGGAAATCTGTTTTCATATGCGTTTGCTTTCCTTCCTCAGGAAACGTTAAAAGCCAAAGACTCACCAGCCGAGGAATTTGAGCGTCCCAGTCTGTCTGAAAGAGATAAACGGATGGCCAAGGAGGTAGCATCATACAATGTAAGCGTTTCGTTTATATCCAGAAAGAATGCATTTATCTTTTGAAAGTTGTGGCAGCCTTTGTTTTTAGTGGGAGGCTTAAAAATAATGTAGCCCAACACACAAAACTGCTACTTATAAGGAAGCTCAATGGTAAGTCCTAATCTTTAACATCCATGGCCGTCCATTGTTAAGAGGAAGGGTCCAGAGTACATTCCAGTTTCAAAAATATATGGTTTGGATATGCATGTCACCGACCTGCAGTCTTAACCAGTGAATTGCAGGGTCAAACAAGTAGATTGATATGTGCCAACCTAAAGAACATTGGTTGCTGTTGACACTTGTTGAGGGTGGATAGATAGGAAATGGGAGGAGGAGTACGCGTTCAATGCACAAGCTTGCTCCACCATCCCCACACTACTCCCACATCCTTTCATATCTTAATATGAAGAAATCTATTGATCTCTGTCTTGACATTCTCAATGACTGAATCTCCACAGTCCTCTAGGGTAGAGAATTCTAAAGATTCACGCTCTCTGAGTGAAGGAATTCATCCTCTGTCCAAGTCCGAAACCTCTTATTCTGAGACTCTGTTCCCTGCATCTAGACTCCCCAGCCAGGGAAAACATCCTTCCTGCATGTACCCTGTGAGGATTTTGTATGTTTCAATAAGATCACCTCTTGTGCTTCTAAACTCCAGATAATACAGGCCCAATCTCTCCCAATACAACAACTCTGCCAGTCTCAGGGATGAGTCTGGTGAAACTTTGCATTCTTTCACTCGATAACATTTATACCCTTCCTTAAATTAGGAGACCAGAACCCTATGCAATATTCCAAAGGCAGTCTCTTCAAGGCTGTATACAACTGCAACAAAACATCATTTCTGCTGTACTCAAATCCTCTTGCGGTAAAGTCCAACAAATCATTTGCAGTAAACATACCATAATGTTTTAAAGGTCTGAGCAAAAATAGTGAAATCGGATTGTCGATGCAGTTCATTTGCCTGCTGAGCCAGTTGTTCTGTGGTGTGCAGATGTTTCGTTATCATTACAGGCAACATCATCAGTGCAACCTCTAATCGAAGTATTAGCGTTCTGCTCTGTTCCGAATTTATATGATCCTTTGGTGTGATGTGTCTTGTCACTTCCAGTTCTGTTTTTTAGCAGTGGTCTGTATACGGGGTGTATTTCTGTGTTTGTTAAGGGAGTCCCGTGTTGAGAACCAGGCCTCCAGGAATTCCCTTGCATGTCTGTTGTTCACTTTGTCCCTGTAGTCACTTTGTCCCAGTTGAAGTAATGGCCTTCATTGTCTGTGTGTATGGAGACAAGTGAATATTGGTCCTGTCTTTTTACCGCCAGCTGGTGTTCGTGTATCCTGGTCATCAGTTTTCTTCCCGTTTGTCCAGTGTAGGAGGTCATGATTTCATCCTCGTCAATTTTTGTGTCCCTGAGCTGTGTCAGAATATCTTGTGCCAAATGGTTTGAGTGTGGGGATCCGCTAATTAGTTGTTTAAATTTCCATTGTAATCCTCTCGCTAGCTTGTGTGTAGGTGTACCTGGGAAGGAGACCATTGATCTGAGTGGAATTCCAGGTTTGTGTACCTTGTTCTGAATATAACAGAGTACGTTGAGAAAGCACAGGCACTACTCATGGATACAGCCACATACCAACAGGTGGCGTCTGACCCCATACCACAGCTAGAGAACAGGATAATACAGACACTCAAGAAACTTAAATGTGCAGGAGAGATCACTAACACCGACTACTTCAGAACGAAACCAGATGGCTCAAAAACCCCCCTCTTCTACGGTCCCCAAGGTACACAAACCTGTAACCCCACTCAGATTAATGGCCTCCTTATCAAGCACACCTACACGCAAGCTAGTGAGAGAATTATAATGGAGACTTAAACACCTAATTAGCGGATCCCCACACTCAAACCATTTGGCACAAGAATTTCTCTCACAGCTCAGGGACACAAAAATTGACGAGGATGAAATCATGATCTCCTTCAATGTTACAGCACTCTTTACATCCATTGATGTACCGTTAGCCAGAGAGACATTAGCCACACTACTGGGTGCACCAGGACCACTGACCCTGAACTCCAGCAACAAGGACAGCTTTCTGAAACTATTAGATTTATGCCTCACAGCGCACTTCACGTTGAACAGCCAAATATACAAACAGATGAACGACACAGTGATGGGATCACCCATCTCAGGTCTCATCGCGGAAGCAGTGATGCAGAGTCTGGAACACACGGCCCTTCCTATAACCAAAACTGTGGATAAGATACATGGGCGACACATTTGTAATAATCGAACGCACCAAAGTAGAAGAAACCTACCAGTTTGTTAACAGCATCTTCGCAAGCATAAAATTCACTAGAGAGGAAGAAAACAACAAACAGCTCCCATAGTTAGACGTAACGGTAGAGAGACTAACTAACGGCGAATTCCAGACCCGAGTGTACAGGAAGGCCACACATACCTGGACCAAATCCTGAACTTCAATAGCAATCACCCTCCCACACACAAACAGGGTTGCATTAAGACACTGTTTAAATGAGCCATATCACACTGCAACACCCCAGAACTCCAGAGAATGGAAGAGGAACACCTGCACAAAGTATTTACCGACAATGGATACCCACAAGTTTCATCTACCGATGCCTACAAAATAAACGACAGTCAGAGGACACAGTACAACAGAAGACACGAGTAACACTACCCTACATCAAAAACATATCGGAAATGACAACCAGACTCCTTAGACCGCATAGGATCATGATTGCATACAAACCTACATCAACATTGTGTCAAATGCTATCAAAGACTAAAGACCCCATACCGACAGTAAACAGGACTAACGTGATATACAGAATCCCATGCAGTGAGTGCAATAGACATTACAATGGAAAAACGGGTAGGAAGCTGACGACCAGGATATACAAACACCAGCTGGCAGTAAAAAGACACGACCAATATTCACTTGTCTCGATACAGACAGACAATGAAGGCCATCAGTTCGACTGGACAAAGTGACTATACTGGGGCAAGTGAACAACAGACATGCAAGGGAATTCCTGGAGGCCTGGTTCTCAAATGGGACTCTCTTAACCAACAGATAGAAATAGACCCCATACACAGACTGCTGCTAAAAAACAGAACTGGAAGTGGCAAGACACATCGCACCAAAGGATCACTGATGATGTCGTCTAGAATGGTAATGAAACGTTTGCACACCACAGAACAGCTGGCTCAGCAAGTGAATGAACAATTGCATACCATAATGCTGCACCTAATATTTACAACTTTCATCTTTCTGTCCTCCAAGCTGCTGTATCTTCCTGGTACTTTTCCTTGTTTTACCTAAGCATTTGTTCTGTTTTTTTTTCCCTCAATAGACTAATCATTTTTGGTGAGGCAGCATTATTTAAAGCTATTTTATTTATTGCATTATTACAATTTTTTAATTCCCTCATGGAATGTGGGCATCTTTGGCTGGGCCAGCATTTCTTGCCAGTCCCTAGATGCCCTTGAGAAGGTGGTGGTGAGCTATGTATCACATACATTGTAAAGCTGACACTGAGCTGTCATTATCTGTCGCTGTGCATTCCTATCAGTGATGATTGGAACATGAGTGGTACCAGATGGGTTGGTAATACTTTGGTTTCCTTTGAAGGGATGTGAAGTGGTTGTAATGTCACTGGGACAGTAATCCAGGGGCCCTGGTTAATGCACTGGGGACACATTTTCAAATCCCACCGTGTCAGCTGAGGAAGTTTAAATTTGATTGATGAAATCTGGAATTGAAACCTTGTATCCATAATGGTGACCATGACACCATTGTCAATCATTGTTAAGACCCATTTGGAAATCCGTCATCCTTATCTGGTCTGGCCGCCTTGTGAGTGCAGAACCACAGCAATTGTTGACTCTTGACTGCGATCTGAAAGGACCAAGTGAGCGGCTCATTTCAAGGGACGTGCATCTGACTTTGACCGTGATGCCCACCTCCCTGGAAGAATGGTGTTTAAAGAAAGTTGCGGTGGAAATTAAATTCAGTTCATAAAGCTGTGGAGTTGGAAGCTCACTTCAGTAGTTGTGATCAGCAATTGTTGTAAAACCCATCTGATATACTCGTGTCCTTTATGAAGGAACATCTGACATCCTTACCTGGATTGGCCTTGACTCCAGATCCACAGCAAGCTGCTCAATTCAAGGAGAATAACACATGGAGGAAAACAAAATACTGGCCTCGCCAGTGAAGCGCACATCCCATGAAAGAATAGATATTAAAAATTCTCTGACCCAGTGGCTGAAATAGATGGGGTGAGAAAGGGAACTGAGTTCATGTTAGAAACAGTGGCTAACCTTTTTTGTTGTTCTTTGCAGGAATTGAGGCGATCGGAGTCCCTTCTCGACATGCACAGCAAGAAGTTGAAGAGGAAAGCGGAGGATGAGAAGGACCGACCCCAGCAGCGACGTGCTTTTGATCGCGAACAGGACTTGCAGGTTCACCGGTTTGACGAGGCTCAGAAGAAAGCCTTGATCAAGAAGTCGAAAGAGCTGAACACCAGATTTTCACACGGAAAAAGCAACATGTTTCTGTAAAAATAAAATTAAAGTAAAAAGTATTTTACTGGCAAACTGCAGACTTAGAGCGCCTGCAGTCTTATGTTTAACACTGCTGTAATATTTCTGTATTGAAACTACAATGGTTCAAACTGATGTTGTATGAATAGCAGGTCTCTTATTATAAAATAGTCTATGTTTAATTTTGATTGAACTGAATAAAGATGAAGCAGTTTTATTTATGCTTTTTAGCAGGTGGTTCTTTGCCTTATTATTTTTATGTCTGTCGTTAGAGACAGTGTACAAAACCCCTGTGAAGCTCTGTGACACAGTGTTGAGCCTTTGAGCCAACAGACATGGGTTGCAGTCCCACCTGCTGCAGAGGTGTGTCTTAATGGGTTGATTAACAACACTATAAAGCCCTTGTTCTGCCGCTCAAGCTTGTTCCGTTAATCAGTTGATTTGCACCTTCGTTCCATTTATCTTGATTTTGTTC